TCAGTGCACCCCTCAGGTAAGATGCCATCTGCAAAAAAAAAAGGCCAAAGCAAAGTCAGTAAGGGCAACTCCTATTACTTCCCATGAGCTTTGGTAAAAGCGTGCATTAAAACCATCCAGGCTGGGGGCTTTGGAGAGGGTCATGTCAAACATGGCTTGCTTGATCTCTTCCTTTGTAAATGGCTTATTGACTTCAACCCAAATTGCAGGAGCCAGAGATGGAAAACCATTAGTTGGAGATGCCTGCGGGGATAGGGAGTTATCAGCTGTAAATAATTGAATGAAAAAATTCTTCACATGGTTCTCGATACTGGGAGCATCTGTTAACAAGGAGCCATCAGCATCCTTGAGTACACAAGTTCTGTTAGAGCTATTCTTGATGGCAGTCGCCAAGTGGTAGAAGTGAGAATTACAATCGCCCGAAGCAATCCAATCCTCTCTAGATCGTTGAAACCAAAAAAGCTCCTCCTGATAAAACACTTCCACCAGATCTTGTCGTAACTTCTTCTCCAGTTTTAATAGATCTGGTCTAGTCTGGAATGCAAGGCTTCTCTGAACACCACTCAGTCTGGCCAGAATTTTTTTTTTTCTGGTAAAAGATATTGCCAAAGACATTTTTATTTCTCAGTATGTGCGCGATCAAAGCCCTTTGGTCTAGAGAGTTAGAGCTTTAGCAACATTCCTCAAGTTCAAAGCCCAAGTGTGTGTCCTTGTCCCAAGATTGTCTTACTACATCCTGGAAATTAGGGTGGGTGCCCCAAGCCATAATAAATCTAAAAGGATTCTGCCTTCTCACTAAAGTTGATGAACACGTATTAATGAGCAGAGGTGAATGATTAGATTCTACAATAGGGAGGTGTTCAACCAAAGCTGATGGGAATTTTAACTTCCAAGTGGTGTTAGCCAGAGTTCTATCCAGCCCCGCACCTTTGAATGTCAAGGAACTAGAGCCCCTCATCCAAGTAAACCTCGAACCTGCAAAACCAAGATCAACTAGACCTTCCCGGAATATCCAATCATTAAAGTCAGAACTTCTAGATATAGAGAAGTTATCCTGGTTGCTGACTTCCTCCTGGAAAGTTACTGAATTAAAATCACCAGCAATGAGCCAAGGAAGAAGAACATCAATATCTTGCCCAGAGAGATCTGCCAATAAGTTCCTTCTCAAATACTGATTCGGGCTCCCATACACCACGGTGAACAGCCATGGCTCAGACAGATTATCAGCTACCTGCATAGAGATGAATTGAGGATGAGTGGTGATGATTTCAACCTTAATAACATCGTTCCAGAACACTCAAATACCCCCGGAGAAACCATAGGCCTCAACTCTTATCCAATCACTAAAACCTAGACTATTACATATTCTATTAGCATGGTCCCCCAATACTTTGGGTTCCAGCAGACAAATAATAGATGGGTTATGCACCCGAATGAATTGCTTAATGGCACGGAGAAATGACTTTGACGCCGCCCCTTGACAATTCCAGACCATAATAAACATAAACACAGGGAGGATGGGGAACAGAGCGCTTAAGAGCGCGAGCTGCCCGCCCCAGCCGATCCCAACAGGCTAGAAGATTCCATAACCAAATCCATTGGCACAACAGGTAAAATTGAGATTAACGAAGGAGCTTCCTTGTCAGGAGGTTCCGTGTGTGAGAAAGGTACTTCCTTGTCGGGATAGATATTCTTGAAGGCGTCACCAATACCATCCATTGCAGATGGCCACGGTTGATCGATAGTATGTTGTACCACCATTGTTGAGATATTAAGTCCATTATTGAACCCTCCAACCATCGTATGTTCGGGTTGAGCTGCAGCGCGGTTGGGACCCCACCCTCTGCCTCGACCTCTGAAAGAACACCGACCAGCAACCTGGGGTTGTCTCGGCACGTCGAGATGGTCTCCACCAGGAACTCCAGCATCCCTCCCCTGACCACGCGGAGTCTGGGCAGATCTGTAGTTCGTCCTAATTTTGGGAAGGGGCGCGCTTGGTTGCTGCAACTCTGCAATTCCTTCATGTGTCTCTTGAGCCATCCCTGTCCCATCTTCATTCATCCCAACCAAGGTGGCAAATCGGGAATGGGTGTCAACTGCCCCAGGAGATGATGCTTTGTTCTGCGGAGATGGAAGCCGACTACCACTAGGATTTCCGGAAGCATTTCTATTGCCACCTCTGTCAAAGGTTCTTCTCTATTTGCGCGCTACCAGCATCCACGAGCCATATTCTCCTTGGGCTTCTGAACAGTCTCTGTTTGCATAGCTTCTATAGGAATGGCACCTTCACCAGTAGAAACATCAGCACTAGTCTCCTTCTTACCACATTGATCCATTCGATGGCCATATAGACCACACTTGAATCAAACCGAATGAAATCCTTCATATTCAATTGGGCATTCCTCCTCATTCAGGACAAATTTGGCCGTCAATAGCTTAGAAATATCTACCTCAATGCAAACTCTGGCAAACTTGCCTTTGGATATAAGACTTGTTGTTTTGTCAATCTTTACAGGCCGGCCAATGCTTTTCCTTATTTTCTTGAAGAAATCCTCTTCGAAATATTTGACGGGTATAACAGGGAAGCGAACCCAGACGAGGAGTTTATTCATTTTATTTTTCTTGGGGATGAAATTGGTTTCCATTCTTGGACTACAATATAGTGTCCCATAATCACCCAAGGCCCTCATATTTCGCAACATCATAATCTCTTTTGGATTCAAACCTGGCAATGAAGTAATCTTGATCCAACGCAATGAGGTCAAAGTGAGACTCCGACCTCCACATCCTCTGCAACCTCTGAAGTAGAAAAGAGTAGTTCACCGTCCTGCCCTGCAACGTAATATTATTTTTTAATTTTAAAGTAATATCAACTAATTTTTAAGAAAATCATTCATAACATTCATATTATATCGAAAAGTTCTGCAATGCATTTTTTTAGCAAGTGTTTTGAAAAATGAAAGAAATGAGAAATATAATTTTTTTAATACTAATGACTCTATTACATAGTCAATATCCCACCCCCGTGGTTTGATCTTGTGACCTTACCTCAAGGGGCACCACAGATGTGCCATCTGAAAACAAGGTGCTTGGCAAATGAGAAATATATATAATAATGATGATAATATTTATAACTAATAATTAGAGTTAGTAAATATGGTATGATTAATTATTAATTTCATAATATTTCCATTTATATTAGGAGGAGATTATGCTTACATTAGCAAGATAAAATAATACTCCGTATTTAATAAATATGCTAGATGATTATGTATAACAATATAAATTAATTTGGTATTTGACATGCACTAATAGTAACAATGTAAGCATAATCTTATTCGCATGGGTAGCTCAATTGGTCATAGAGGTGAAAAGTTGGAAGAATGACCAAGGATCGAGTTTCAGCAGTGGTAGTGTGGGAGCTATCCATCAAAGTGAGGGGGGTGGTCTAGCCTCTTGCTCTCTCAAGTTAGAGTCCAACCTTTTGGAATAATGTAAGCATAATTTTATACAATATATATTAATACTATAATCCAATATATACTACATTATAGCAGAGTCAGTAGTACTCAAAAAAAATAATACAGAGGATTGATGCCATCATACCTATATAATTGTGTTGTATTCAATAATAATGTTTGAGAGTACAGGGAGCGAATATATAGAGATGCTAGATAGAATCCTAGTCTAATAGTCCTAATATAGTCCTAATATTCCCCCTCAAGCACAAGGTTGGCTAGCCAAAACATTGAGCTTGTCACGGCGAGAGACTTTGTGAAAATATCTGCTAGTTGATCCTTGGTTGAAATAAAGTGCACTTCTAACTCCTTTTTGGCTACTTTATCGCGAACAAAATGATAGTCAATCTCAATGTTCTTTGTGCGGGCATGAAACACTGATTGGCACATAAATAAGTAGCTCCCAAATTATCACACCATAGTCGAGAAGGAGACGCAGGCGGGATGCCGTTTCATGTAACAGAGAAACGAGCCATGTAACTTCTGCAGATACATCAGCGAGTCCCTTGCATTCTGCTTCAGTCGAAGAACGTGCCATAGTCCGTTGCTTCCGACAAACCCAAGATATAAGATTACTGCCCAAGAACACAGTAAAGCCACTAGTAGATTTGCGGTCATTCGGATCTTCATACTACTAATTTCATTTCTCATCTCTTGAATGGTTGCTTTTAAGGATGTTTCAAAATGTTCTCTTTGAATTGCTAACGCCTCAGCAACTGCTTTCTTAATCATATCTTTTACTTCTGGTGTAGGCTGGCTTTGACCACGTTTTGCAGGACCAAAGTAGCTTTTTAAGCCATGTGCTCTACCCACGGCACTAACACGTCCGCAATGCTCATCTGTACCTATGGCATTAGACAATATATCTTGTCTACCGGACTCAACAAATTCTCCTTGAGAAGCTTACAATGATAGAAAATCCTAACATATAAAAACAATATTTAATAATGATTACTAGCTATCTTAATAATTTTGAAAATGATAACATATTACTTACAATCTTTTCCACGACCATTCTAGTCGCTTCGTTGTTAATATTTCCTGATTTGTTCATTCTTGCCCTCTTCCACTTTTCATGTCTAGATGGACGAGATGGAGGAGAAACTATTGACGATGGATCTAAACTTGCAGCTTCTTCTTGTTCTTTCATTTTCTCATCCATCACAATCTTCTCCAATCTCTTATAGTCTCCTCGGGCTAAATGATGTGGATGAACATTCTTACTCTGTACCTCTTGATGTTTCTTTCTTGATTCTTACACAAAAAGAAAACATTAAGTAATAATATATCTTTAATATATTTGAGTTAATAAATAATTGATAGAAAAATAATAATATATACCTCAAACTCTGCAGTTTTACGAAGCTCCAAGTACTTTTTCCATGTATTTGGATCAACGAATGTGTATTTTTCACATGGAATATTGTTTATTGGGTCTTCATTATTGAATATAAAGTCTCTATTCAGTCTACTCTTGCATAGTGCTCTTTTCATCTTGTTTTTTTGTATAAAAAGAAAATCCATTTATATCATATCCAGTATAACATATGACTTGCATACAAGGACCATGAGCTAACCATCGTACTGTTTCAGAATAGTTAGCAGCACTCAGAACTTTATTCTTGAACCAACTAATAAAAGTACGATTATGTTCGCTCACAATCCACATGTCTCGTGTCTTGTGCTCATCTAAATATGGCTCGACTTCACTTGTATTATGCAAGATATACAAATGTGCTTGCTCAATATCTTCACGAGGCATACTGGCTACTTTACGTCCTCGAGTACCTTTCCCAGCACTTCTTCCTCCATGTCGATACTTTGAAAGACCAATAGCTTCTACCCCCGCCAAATATTCAGTACAAAATTCAGTTACCTCCTCAGCAATATAGCTTTCAACAGTAGATGCTTCTGGTCGATATCGGTTCCTCACATAACCTTTTAAGACTTTCATGTACCGTTCAAATGGGTACATCCACCTCAATAAACAGGACCGCACTGTCTAATCTCTCGCACCAGATGTACAACCAAATGAACCATGACATCAAAAAATGACGGTGGAAAATACATCTCCAACTGACACAATGTAACAATAATGCCATTTTGCAATTCATCTAGTTTGTCTGGATCAATCACTTTTCCACATATAGCATTGATAAAGAAACAAAACCTTATAATAGTATATCTCAACTTTTTTCGCAATATACCTCTAACAGCCATTGGCAATAGTTGCTGCATTAAGGCATGACAATCATGAGATTTCAATCCCACCAATTTAAATATTGCATATTCACAAGTGTTCAAATATTTGATGAGTACCATTGTGGTACCTTGACTCCACGTAAACACTCACAAAAACTTATTTTCTCCTTTCTTGATAAAGTATGAGCAACTGTAGGCAAATATGTCTTCTTATCCCCTTGGCGTGGAGCTAATGTAGCTCGTATGTTCATTTCAATCAAGTCTAATCTAGCATTGAGTCCATCTTTAGTCTTACCTTTTATATCTAAAAGAGTTCCAACAAGACTATCACACACATTTTTCTCCACAAGCATCACATCAATACTATGTCTCACATCTAATGTCTTCCAATATGGAAGATCAAAAACATATGGATTTCTTTTTCCATGGACTCTTTTCATTTGGAGGTACCTCAACATTAGCTCTTGACCTCTTACCTCTTTGAGATTTAAGCTTTTGAGTTTTACCAAAAGTAACATTTATACCTTTTACACGTTCATAAACTTCAATCCCAGTCAGTGGTTGTGGAGCATCTGTATAGTCTTGTTGCCCATTGAAAGCTTTTTTTAATCTCCTGTAAGGGTGAACTCTATCAAGAAACCTCCGGTGACCCAAGTAGACTGTCTTTCTTCCATGGACAAGTTGATAATAACATGTATTATCTTCACATATAGGGCATGCCTTATGTCCTTTGACACTATACCCAGCCAGGTTTCCATAAGCTGGAAAGTCATTGATTCTGCAAAAAAGCATAGCATGCAACTTAAAATTCTCTTTCCGGTAGGCATCAAACACTAACAAACCTTCATCCCACAACTTTTTCAAGTCCTCAATCAAAGGTGCCAAAAAGACATCTATATCATTATCGGGTTGTTTTGGGCCAGAAATCATCAAGGACAGTAATATATATTTGTGTTTCATACACAACCAAGGAAGTAGATTATAAATCACTAACATAACTGGCCACGAGCTATGCTTGCTACTTAGGTTCCCGTGAGGGTTTATACCATCAGTACAAAGGCCAAGTCTAAGATTTCTCGACTCATTGCCAAATTCAGGAAAAACATCAAAGGTTTTTCGTTGAGTAGAATCAGCTGGGTGTCGAAGCTTGCCATCAGAAATTTTTTGATCTGCATGCCATGTTAATTTTTTCGCGTCGCTTGGATTTGCAAACATACGCTTAAATCTTGAAAGAATTGGGAGATACCACATAACTTTAGCTGGTGGCCCTTTCGAACTTGCCTTACGAACAACATGCTCTCTTATTTTGTACCGAGATGCCCCACAGATTGGACATGCATTCAATTCTTTGTAATCATTCCTAAACAATATGCAATCGTTAGGACAAGCATGTATCTTTTCATACTCCATACCCATGGGACACATAATCTTCTTAGCATCATATGTACTCTTCGGGAGTCCATTATCTTCTGGAAGCATATCGTTTATTAAATCAAGTAAAGCAGTAAAGCTCTTGTCGCTCCATCCATTCCCAGCTTTTAAGTTGAATAATTTCATAACAGCAGATAAGCGAGATATTTACTACACTCGGGCCATAAAGGCTGTTTTGAATCATTTAATAATTCATCCAACTCATTTGATCGATTTGTGAACTCTTCTCCAACATCACGGAACATTTCGTCCAACCTATCTTCAGACTCATCATCTTCATTTGCTTCGTTGTCAACATACATGTTAGATGTACTAGTCTTTCTTCCTCCTTCACCGTGCCATATCCATTTTGTATAATTTAGATTAATTCCATCACAAATTAGATGATCATATATATCCTTTGCACTTAATAGTTTTAGATAACAACACTTCTTACAAGGACACCAAAACATCGCATCATTATTTGGAAGATGACGTTTTGCAAACTCTATAAATTCTCTAACTCCGGCTTCATATTCCGTACTCAACCGAGAAGCATTCCTCCAACTTTTATCCATCACAAGTTAATCTAGGATAATATTAATTCAAATTAAACTTTTGTTAACATTGATTCAACAAATATCGAAAATAATTGTTTTGGTGAGAATAGACTAGTAATTACAAATATATACAAATAAACCCTAAAATGTAAATATATTTACTAAAATTCGAAATAAATCAATAATAATTACAAATATCTACAAATAAACACTAAAATGCAAATATATTTACTAAAATTCGAAATTAATCAATAATAATTACAAATATATACAAATAAACCCTAAAATGCAAACATATTTACTAAAATTAGAAATAAATCAATAATAATAACAAATATATACAAATAAACCCTAAAATGCAAATATATTTACTAAAACTTGAAATAAATCACTAATAATTAAAAATATATACAAATAAACCCTAAAATGCAAATATATTTATTAAAATTTGAAATTAATCAATAATAATTATAAATATATACAAATAAATCCTAAAATGTAAATATATTTACTAAAATTCGAAATAAATCAATAATAATTATAAATATATACAAATAAACCCTAAAACGCAAATATATTTACAAAAATTCAAAATAAATAAATAATAATTACAAATATATACAAATAAACCCTAAAATACAAATATATTTACTAAAATTTGAAATAAATTAATAATAACTACAAATATATACAAATAAACTCTAAAATGCAAATATATTTACTAAAATTTGAAATTAATCAATAATAATTACAAATATATACAAATAAACCCTAAAATGTAAATATATTTACTAAAATTGGAAATAAATCGATAATAATTACAAATAAACCCTAAAATGCAAATATATTTATTAAAATTCGAAATAAATCAATAATAATTACAAATATATACAAATAACCCCTAAAATACAAATATATTTACTAAAATTAAGAATAAATCAATAATAATTACAAATATATACAAATAAACCCTAAAATGCAAATATATTTACTAAAGTTCGAAATAAATCAATAATAATTACAAATATATACAAATAAACCCTAAAATGCAAATAAATTTACTAAAATTTGAAATTAATCAATAATAATTACAAATATATACAAATAAACCCTAAAATGCAAATATATTTACTAAAATTTGAAATAAATCAATAATAATTACAAATATATACAAATAAATCCTAAAATGCAAATATATTTACTAAAATTCGAAATAAATTAATAACAATTACAAATATATACAAATAAACCCTAAAATAAAAATATATTTACTAAAATTCGAAATTAATCAATAATAATTACAAATATATACAAATAAACCCTAAAATGCAAATATATTTACTAAAATTCGAAATAAATTAATAATAATTACAAATATATACAAAAAACCCTAAAATGCAAATAAATTTACTAAAATTTTAAATTAATCAATAATAATTACAAATATATACAAATAAACCCTAAAATGCAAATAAATTTACTAAAATTCAAAATTAATCAATAATAATTACAAATATATACAAATAAACCCTAAAATGAAAATAAATTTACTAAAATTCGAAGTTAATCAATAATAATTACAAATATATTCAAATAAACCTTAAAATGCATATAAATTTACTAAAATTTGAAATTAATTAATAATAATTTTAAAAAAAAATTAAAAAACGTACCTCGGCGGAGAGTTCCGTTGATGGCGGAGCGGCGGCGGTGAAGGCGCGATGCAGCGGCGGGGAGGAGACGGTGCAGCGGCGACGGCTTGAAGTTGCAGCGGCGAAGGAGGCTCCCAGACGACGCGGCGGGGAGGACAGACGGCAACGGCGGCGAGTTGCAGCGGCTACGACGACTGGGATGGTTGCGTCGGCGTCGGCAGCGGCGGCGTCGGTGGTGGGATGAAGCGGCGGGCAAGATGGATGGTGGTGTTGAGCGATGAGGTGATGTGCGATGATGGAGGCGACGAGGAATTGACTGAAATTAAACGGGTGGGTCTATTTTATAAACTATATAATGTCGGCTAATTGCTATTAGCCTATGTTATAACAAAAACAATTTTAAAAAAAAAGTTTTAAAAACCATACGACGTCGGCTAGATAGTTAGTCGACGTCGTATTATATTTATTTCTTTTTTTTTTTAGTATATAACGTCGGCTAATAGTAATTAGTCGACGTTATATATAAATAATTTTTTTATAAAATAATAATAAATATCCTTTGACGTCGACTATCTATACAGCCGACGTCGTAGGTTATTTATTTCTTTCATATTTTATTTTTTATTCATAACGTCGGCTATTAATAAATAGCCGACGTTATAAATTTAATTTAAAAAAAAATTAAAATGTTTTTAACGTTGGCTATGTATATAACCGACGTTAAAGGCCTGACGTTGTATGTAAATTCTGTAGTAGTGCTACAAC